CATTTCATTCGCAAGGTAGATTATAAACATTTGGTTGAGGAACTCTGGGGAAAGCGAATAAGCGAAAATATTGAAGAAGACAAGGCAGTAACAATTTTTGGCTTGTTGGAAAAAAGCAAGAACAGCAGTCAGAGATCATTCGTTTGTGATGATCTCAATGAGGCAATCAGCCTTCAGGCAGAGGCGGGGGGGAAGCTAAACATGATGAGTAGGCATACCGCCAAGTGGGTTGAAGAGTTTGATGAAATCGGGGTTTGGTGTCGGGACAGGGAAGTATGCGAAAAAAATGACTCACTTTATTACGTTCTGAATGTGGTTGATAGGTGCGAGTTGTCCAATGGCTTTCGTTTTATTAAAGAAATGCTGTTGCAGTATCATAATTTCAACATGCGATGTGCATATCAAAAACTGACAGATAACAATGTAAAGGTATTGAGTACCAAATGCGACGCTTTTGTCGTGGACTGTTCGGGTTTTAATAAGTTTGGTTTGAGAAAGACTCAGCAGTTGCTAGATTTTCACGATGGGATCGGTGGGTGGAAATTAGCCAAGACTCACAATGAGATTCATCATACAGGAAAGCAGTTGTATGAACAGAAGAAATGTGAATATGTTGAGATCCCGATTGTCAAAAGTAAGAGAGTTAACATCATTAATGAGTATGATGAAAATGAACTGGTTGAACTTGTTGAGAAACATAGGTGCTTGACGATTAAGGCTAGATTCGCAGGAGCGGGAAGTCCACCATCTGCAAGAACATGGAGAGACTCAAGGATTATAAAGTGTTGTTCGTGGTTCCTACCAATAATCTGGGTTTGGAGTGCGAAGTGGAAAGCGTCACTGTAAGTAAATTCTTCAGTATAGCAGTCAATGACGAGAAGCTAGATAAATACGATCATTCAATGTTTGATGTCATTGTGTTTGATGAGATTTGTTTTAATACAAAAAGCCTTTGCATTGGCAAAAATTAAGGACTTTGTAGAGCAACACAGGGCTAACAAAATCATATTAGCTACTGGTGACGCCAAGCAGTTGAGCCGCATAAAAGCACCGACTAACACTAAGAAACACGAGATTTATATGAATGAATGTATTGATAGCATTTTTCCCCATCATTTGTTTTTGGAAGAGTGTAAGCGACTGAAGACTCAGGAGGACAAGGACAAGCTTAAAAACATATACGCTGACATTTTTGAGCATCAGGTGCAACTACTTGAGTTCATCAATAAGTATTTTAAATATACTGATGACATAACAGGGACAGAGAGTACCATCGCATATTTAAATAACACATGCAAGGAAGTTTCAACACAAATCAGGAAGCATCAAGGTAAACAGACTGAGTTTCAAGCCGGCGAGATCATGATCTGCAGAGAGTATAGGAAGACAAAAACCTATAAAATAAATGTCAATTTCAGGTATGAGATCATTAATATGTCCGATTCTTGGGTTACCGTTGCTAAATCAAAACAAGTGAAGAGATCACGCTACATATTGGTATTTTGAGAAGTCATTTTATCTTTGCCTTCTGTTATACTTGTCATTCTGCTCAAGGTTGTTCTATAGATGATGATGTTACCATTTTTGATTGGAATCATCATTTGATAACTCGTGAGTGGCTTTGGACTGCAATCACTCGGGCAAGGGATTTAAACAGGGTCAAGTGTTATGAATACAGTAGTGGCTTAAATGAAGAGTTTAACGCAAAATGCATTATGAATTATTTTGATAGACAGGTTTTAGCAGACAAGGAACAGGATCGTAAAAACAAATTTGAGATCCCAAAAGAAAATTATGTAGATGCTGAATGGTTGAAGGACAATGTCAATGGAAAGTGTGCAAATTGTGGCTGTGGCTTTGTGCTGTCAATGGATTCTGGCCATATAAACTCTAATTTGACTTGCAAAAGGTTATGTAATGATCTACCCCATACAAAAGATAATGTCATTGCCTTCTGTGCTTCGTGCAATCGGTGTTTCAGTGACAAAATTCCGTTTTAAAGGAATAGTGGCTTAGGTATATAGAGGTATGAATCGGTATGAAAAAGGGGAAATTTACAAAATAGTAAGTCCTGACTTTGAAAAGTGCTACATTGGTTCTACCACCGAACCATTAAGCAAAAGAATGGAAAGGCACAGGAAACTCTACAAACGATATTTAGAAACTGGCAATATTGATACACGAGCGCGATTAATATTTGATGAATGTGGAATAGACAACTGTAAGATACTTCTAATTCAAGATTACCCATGTGCAAGCAAAGAAGAACTCTTAAGGAAAGAAGGAGAGTATATACAAGCAATAGAGTGTGTCAATAAATGTTTCGCAGGAAGGACACCAGCCGAGTATAAAGGACTTTACAAAGACTATTTCAACCAAAAGCGGAAAGAATACCATGAGAACAACAAATAATATATAATAAAAGGAAATTCTGAATACCGACAACAACACAAGGAACAAATTGACCAAAGAAGGCGTGAATACTATGAACGAAACAAAGAACAAATCAATGAGAAGAGAAAACAATATTACAACAACAACTTTGATGAAATCAAACAACAAAAAGCAACACATGCCAAACATAACAAGGAATATTTGACTGAAAAAAGAAAAGAATGGTATGACACGAACAGAGAGCATGTCAAACAAAGAAGTAATGAGTATTATCAACAGAAGAAAGACAAAATATGTGCCAAGAGAAAAGTAAAGGTTGAATGCGAATGTGGTTCAATGAGAAGAGTTCATGAAATCAAAAGGCACCAAGGAACAAGAAAACATCAATCATTTTCACAGCAACAATAATATCCTGTTTAATATATATGTCTAAACAAGATATTATTACGGATGTTTATTTTGATAGAGCAGGGTTTGGTTCATAAAAAACGACTTTGGCAGACAGTAAGAAAAAGGATCCTTCGATAACAATGCAAGACATTAAGGAGTGGTTTCAAGAGAACGTGGAACGGAAAAAACAACTGTCCGGATACAATTCGTTTATTGCACCGGAAAGCTTCTGGGAGATCCAATTTGATTTATTTTTCACCAATGACCTTCCTAATCAGAAGTTCAAAGTCGGAACGGTAATGATTGATGTATTTTCCAAATACATGGTTGTCATACCCATTAGGTCAAACCACGAAGGCGATGTAGCAAGTGCATCAATTGAAGGATTTAACAAATGGGGAAGCTACCAAAATTGCTATATACAGACGACGAGACATCCTTGTCATCTAAGTCTATTCAGGAATATTTGAAAAAGGAAGGTGTTGAACATTATGTAACTAGAGGACATGCAAATGTCAGCGAGAGAGCTATAAGAACTTTCAAGGACATGTTATACAAACGCGTTGAATGTGATGAACAACTCAAGAAGGACAATATCCAATGGACAGATTATGTTCCAGAAATACTTCTGACATATAACAATAAGCAAGTCCATGCGTCGCATCGTCTAACACCGAACGAAGCAAGAAAGCCACAAAATCATTTTTCTGTCAAAATGCAACTGGAGTTGAATAGGATCAAGACTCGCAAATATCCAAATCTAAGAATTGGAGATGAAGTCAAGATGTTCAGACAAAAGGGTATTGCAGAAAAAGAACGCAGTAGCACATGGTCAGTGAACAAACACAAAATTGAAAATATTGAAAAGAAACTCGGGCAAGAATACTATTCTGTTAAAGGGGTGAATCGCCCCTATTTGAGGTCAGAGATTTTGAAGGTTTGAATCAGTCTCATCATGACAAGTCTATTAAACCGTAAACCGTTGGTTTTGGGAAGGGTCATCCCAAAACCAGTGGTTTTTGCTTTTGGAAACCATAAACCGCCAGTTTTGAAAACCATAAACCGTTGGTTTTTGCTTTTGGAAACCGTGAACCGTTGGTTTTTGAAACCATAAACCATTGGTTTTTGCTTTTGGAACCATCCAATATCCCCAAGATCAATTACTGGGATTGTTGACATGATTTGAGTTAGCCCTTAGAATATTCCTTTTTCCATTGGTTAATCACTTTTGGGGGAGTGATAATTGGTTGAAAATAGGGTTGTTTTGGTGGCTGCACCTTGGACATTCCTATTTAACGAAAAGGCTACTTACTAAAACATGGAGAAGAAGATGTGCACGAGATGCAGGAATGAAAAGGGAATGGAAGAATTTGTGTATGGATTGAAGTCATGCGACACTTGTGTTGATCAAAAACGTGACTACCGCAAACGAACAGTTGAGAAGAACAAGGAGTATAACAAGAGTTACAGGGAAGCCAACAGAGACAAAGTGCAATGTCCGCTGTGCGGAGTTGAGATTGCCAAATACAAGATGAGGCAACATGAGGCGACGCAAGGTCACAAGGAGAAACTACTGGAAAAAGACTAGATTAGGTTGACGATTAGAATATTTCATTTTTCTAATCGTTAACCAACTTGAGGGCGAGAATTGATTGAACAATGCCTTTGTTTATTAGACAGTTTGAATTTGTTTGTTTTGGTTAAGGGTTGCAGTTTGGATCATGAAGTAGAAAAAACATATTTTGAGGGTTGGAAGTTGAGGGTGAACATTTGTTGGTATGTGGATTGATTTTTTTGAGTGCCATTTTTGAGGAGGTGTGAATTAGTATGTAGTTAGGATTGTTGTTTTGAATGAGTGTAAGGGTCGGGTTAAATGTTGGAGAAATTAGGCGAAAAATGCAGTTGATCCTTAGAATATTATTTTTTCTAATGATTAACTTAGTGGGTGTTTCAATTTGGGGGTTGAAAATGGGGTGATTTGATAGGCGCATTTAAAAAGTGCTCAAAAAGTGTAGGGGGGGTATTGGCTGGGGTGCCCTGAACTGGACGGGAGAGGCTAACTCTAACTCTTACAGCTCCTGACTTGGCGCATGGCTTGCTTTCAATTCATGCTGGTTGGCAGTTCAATTTGCTTTTGTCCGGGCTCGCCTTGCTTCGTTATTTACATTTATACTTGATGGGATTGGTCGAATCACCGGGCTTATCATGCGAACGCCAGGTGGTGTGGTGTGAAGATCCCATTGTCTTCACCTTCCTCGCTGGTGGCGTGCTGGTGACAGCCTCAAACACTTGCGCTGACTGCAAAGCTTCTCACATTTGAACTTGAGTTTGAGTTGAGACTTGGGACTTTGCCTCCCGTTCGCAGGTTGGGCCAAGTTATTGCACACAATGTGGAGAAACTAGACCTGGCCCATTGTCAGGGTTCAGCCTATAAGCATTATTGTTTGATATCTCCTTCTCCCAAGTGGATTGCAAACTGTACGTGCAGCTACGATGCCTCTCTCATCCACAGAAGCTAATCTCCAGTGAAGACTTGGAGCTATTTGACAAAGGCCAGGATTGCCAAGGTGGCAAACCTGCCCCATGGCAAGAGAGTGGTGCTTGATCCATAGGCGGCTGTTCCCAGGTCTGGCGCCCTCGGTGGCTTCGAAGCCGTCAACAGCACGGGCGTCGCTGCTGTGTGGCTGACGGCAGGGGGCACAGACTGCGTCCGTTCGGGGTGCGCCGTTCAGAAGCTCACGGGGTGCGCCATGCGGTGCGTTGCCATGAGGTTGGCTCGCCGCCGCAAGTCCAGGGCACGCCGGGGCCAATCTACAGGCAAGGGCACAAGAAGCAAAGCTTGTGGCAGGTTGAGGGAGGTTGAGGGAGGTTGAGGGAGGTTGAGGGAGGTGGAGCAGATTCGGTGAGGAGTCGCCCGACAGCTTGCAGAATGGAATTGCCTTGGGCACTGGCGCGCTCCAGCAGCCCGTTGGCTCAAGCCGTGCTTCTAGGGGCAAGTGAGCCAGTCAGGTGGGCTGCGGGCAGGGTTCATGTCTCGTGTGTTTGAGCCCGAGTCAGCTGCCAAGAGGTTGTAAGCAGGTTTTGTAGGCACAACTGCAAAATAGTGAAACCCGCCCCCCCCCTACTCCTGGTTTAGGATTGTTTGAAAACTTGATGTGTCAGGGTAAATAGCTCTTTTTTTGGTCAAGGGTTGACATCATACCCTGTTATACGGGTATTTTGGAATAGCGGGAAGAGTGTTTTTTTGGCGCGTGGAGCGTGCAAGTGCGGCGTGCGTGTGTGCGAGTGCACTGTGCGAGTGTGCGAGTGGAATGGGCGAGCGAGCGGACGAGTGGACGGACGACGCGCCCTACTCGTACACTTTTCCCTTGAACAGTCTTAAGGCCTTGTTTTTTGAGAAGTTTATTTTTTTTGGCACGGAAAACCACTTTCAATTGAAGGTCTAACAAAATACCTAGTTGTAAACGCTTCGCATTGCCACCTCGGCCAGTCAGAGGTTGGCTGGCTTTGAGGTATATACTGTGTTTTAGTTTGGCTTGAAGTGTTGTGTTCGTTAGAGTGCGTGAGTTGGCGCCGAAATGCGTGAGCTGGGTTGCAAGGTAGAGGGTGGGTGCATGTCCGCGCGTTTCCACACGGCTTCATGGGCCAGAACGAGAGCCGCAGAGAGCTACCCAAGGTGCAAATTTGTAGGGAATTTTAGTTGGTTCGTAGGGGCAACTTTACCGGTTTCTGGGGGGACTTGATCGGAGTTGGACCGGCTTTTGGAGGGATTTTTAGCCGGTTTCTAGAGGGGAAGTTTTTCTACAGTTTTTAGGGGTGCCGTGATTGGTTTCTGGAGGGATTTGGCCGGTTTGAAATGGAATCTGAGCGGTTTTTAGCGGACTTGATTTCTTTTAGGGACCGCTTTTTGAGAGGGATTGCGACTGCGGTTTAGGAAGAGGTTCTGAAGGGGTCTGACCGCTTCCCGACCCTGAGGGCCGAGGCGAATTTCCGTTCGTCCGCGCGCCCTCGCAGACTTGCACGCGAACTCAGCGGGCGCAGGAACCTTGACAACCTCTTGGGTCCAAATACCGCGCGCTTGCATCTTGACGCTTTCGCGCCCAAAGAGTTCGAGATGTGTTTGGCAAACCAGGTGGGGATTTGAGAATTTATATATGTGGATGATTGGCCGAATTTTTTGCTCGCTTTTTGTAGTTTGCCGTGGAGTCTTCACGCCTGGCAAGGAGAGAGCGTCATGGTGTGCTGGGATGCGCAGAAGGCAATGGGCAAATTGTAAAAGAGCAGAAATGGCCGTTACGCCTTCCCAGCCCTGACTTTCCGTGAGGGTGTCTTTGATCAGGGTGACGTGTTTTGGCCTTGGCCCTATGGCCCTATGCCCCGGGCAGGGCCACTGCCCAAGAGTCGCCAAGTTCGGAAGCCTGGGGCTCAGCCATTTTGGCGGGAGCCTTTGGATAGGGACGCTCTGGAAGGTCTTGTTCACTTTCGTGGCTCATGTGCACAGTGAGAAGCTCCGTCACAAGCTTGCCCAAATGTCATTTCTCCCAAGAGGGACACATTCCCCTCGACGACTCAAGAGAAACACACATTTGATTCAATTGCATTTCGCGGCCCAGACTGCAAATACTGCAGCGGCAAGGGCGATGGCAAGGCAGGTTGACCCATTATAGCACGATGTGTGGGCACAAACTGCACTCCAAGGATACAGAACACTGACCGATTGTCACCGAAGCCAGGGCTGGAGCAGCGGCAAAGGGGGCCAAAGCTGGAGCAACGGCAAAGGGGGCCAGGGCTGGAGCAGCAAAGGGAGCCTTGGCTATGCAGTTGTGGGAAGAACTCCCGGTTTTCGATCCCGAAGACGCATTCCTCATTTGAATTACTTTGAATGAGGCCGTCAGCCAAGCTGACGTCTCATATTTCATTGCTTAGGGCCCGAATGCCTGTCCAGACGGTGCCACACAGCAAGGCGGGGTGATCGTGGGATTGGGAACAGACCCGCCTGAGACTCGGCCAGGGCTGGACTTCCCCGCCTGTGTCGGCCTGAAGTCAATGAGCCACTTTTGTTTATGTGAAGAGGCGCATTCTTGAGCAATGTGGGACATGTGGCACACTGACGTTGCCCTTGCCAAGGTGTATAACCAGACACTCAAGTGGAACCAGGAACCTGCGCCTCGGGCGAAACTGGCTGAGCCGTGGATCTCATCGCGCGTCGCCGAGGCTTGGGGCAAAGGCAAAGGCAAAGGCAAGAAGAAGCCTTTGGACCCCAGCCGCACTGTGTGGGTGGGCGGCGTTCCAGCTGGCAGCACCTACCAGGACCGCGTGTCTTTGGACGATTCGGGCTTATGCGATGCCGTGCCGTCCTTTCGCTCCCGCAAGGCCGCAAGGCCCGTTTTCGCAAGCAGGAGCTGAAGGCGCACGTACAGGCCTGCGGCCTGGCGCCTCTTTGGGCGGAGGCCTACCAGGGCCGTGGCGCAGGCCGGATGGGAAGCCTGGTTTCAAAAGAAAAGGAAGCCCAGAGGTTGCAACCGTGGCGACTTTTGGAGACTTGCAAGGGCTCAAGCAGGGCAGCGCTGTCTATAGCTCAATTCAAGGTCAACTGTGGCCCGAAGTGGGCTGTGACTGCTGGCCTTGTTGACAACGTGTTGACAATGTCAAAGAAAATGCCTCTTTGATCGGCCCGCTGCATGTCTTAAACACGTGACGCTGCTTCTGGGGAGCCTTTCGGAATGTGGGAAACGCCTCGGCCTTGCGCCGTGATCCGACGGCACGAGAAGTTCCGCAGATTCATTTGATTTCAAAGTTGGAACTTGATTTCATCGCAGGCACTGCGGCCGTGGGCTTCAAGACCGCGCCGGAGGTGTGGCCTCGGGTGACGGGGCGACGCGCCGACGGGGCAACGGGGCGATGGCACGCAGGCCGAGGAGGCTCTGATGGCGGGGCACCGAGGTAGCTGACTTGCCGGCGTCATTCCCAAAGGCAAGGAAGGAACCAAGATGTTCCATCGAGTTTCATGCCAATGCTTTACGAGGCCTGGTGGTAGATACCCATGTGTCATTGGTGCACATAGAAAGTCCTGGCAACCTGCAGCACTCGAGCCTGGGATTTTGGATCGAAGCTGATCTCTGGAGATGGTTCATGGCAGAAGCTCAACCATGTTTACAAGGGAAGTATGGTTTATGGCATGAAACTCACCAATCACAGTCACTGATAAATGGTTTGCCATGTTTTGTCCAATAGTCTTGAGTGATAAGTTGTAGCTGTAGGAAGTAGCAGCAGTCATGGTATAGACATGCAGTGGTAGTGGTGTTTTGCGGTACCCAACCCATTGATCTGCTGCTCCTCCACATCAGTTTCAGAGAGGGCACGGACGTGAGGGCAGGGCGCAGATTGGCACTGAGGTTCTCAATGGCTCGGTGTTCAACGGCCAAGAGATTCAGACGGATGTCTGGGCCAGCAAGCGGCAGTGAGCCTGCCACATAGCCGTGTGGGTTTGGGTTAAAACAAGATTTCGTAAACCTAACGCCTACCACCGGGACAGCTTGATCCCTTGGGCCATTGAGCCGGAACTGTTCAATGGTGCCAAACAGTTTGGATACAAAGGGACTTGCACACACTAAGAGTGGTTGAGCCCAGACCCGTACAACTCCCAAGCTAAGCACCCCAAGAGCAGTTGGCACAGAGGGGAGATTTGGGCACGGGCAGAGGATTCCCGACCGAGGGCCAGCAGGAAAGGAACATGTTGCGAGTTCCAAGAGATGCCCAGCGCTTTGCTGGTTTTGATTGGCGCCAAATGGGACCTATCCTCCGCATCCTTACGGGTAGCATCTTTAGCATTCGTGCTTGGGCAGAACCAAACTCCAAGCGAATATGTGTTTTTCGATCGGCGCTTTTCAATGCGGTGTACATGCTTCGGAAGGCTTCACAGTTTGCGCGAGATTCAAAAGTTGGATACACCTCTGGCTTTGCAAGTCTGCGAGATGCCAAGGGTTCCCTGGATGTCCACCGAACATGTGCCAAAAGAGGTTGGATCCCTCCAAACGGCAACCGTGTTCATACTTTTTTTCTCCTTTTCGCGCGGACGCGCATGGGCCCCTGATTTGGACAACTACTCGCATGTCGTGGCAAGACCTTGGACGAGCTTGCCGAATAAGTTTGAAGCGCCTGTGCCTTATGCTCATGCTTTACGAAAGGCTTACTGGCCATGGATAGCCGCTCTTAGTGAATGCAAAACCATCCCCAACAGACGAAGTATGAAGTACCTGAAGACAAAGTGGTTGAATGTGTAAAAATTATGTATATATATGCATATATGTATGTCAATACGTATGTATATATATATATATGCACATTGTCCAATCGAACGATTTGATCGGGATGCCGCACCTAGAGTTTCAAGAGGGTGTTGCTGAGGTTCACTTGAACCATCGCTGTCACTCCCCGCAGTCCATTTACTCAATTCGGGCGCAGTTGTTGTTGCAATGGGTTGCCCGAAGTCCGTGCTGCGTTGGGAGAACGAGTCGAGATGAACTTCCCGCAGGGACTTTCGACTGGAAGCTTCGCTGATCTTCTGGTTAGGGACGGATGGGTGTTGGGCTCGAGCGGCAAAATTCGCCTTTTCCAGGTTTGCTTGCAGACCACAATATGCCCAAAGTCTTTCTCCTCACCTGTCTACTTTACCGGGCTTGGTAAGAGGTGTGTGCAGACAGAAATCCTTGATTTTCCGATTTTTCGAAGCTGAAAGGACTTATCAGCAAAAGCGGCCCTAAGCTGGGGATTCTTGAACCTAAGGGTTTCAGGCCAGGGGTAGGTTGGCGATTGGAAAAGCTGTTGAAATTCTACCCCTTGTTTCCCCGTGTGGGGATTTGGGGTCCGTTGTTTGGGTGCGATGGTTTCACCAACTTAGGGCGTCCCTTCGTCGCTTCCGTGGAGAAGCTGCGAAGGGTGGCTTGAGATTGCACGGTCAACATGACCGACACGGGACACATCTGCACCAGTGGGATGCGCATCAAAACGGGGCCCAGACGCATAATATAGAACGGCTGCTTGTGTTGGTTCATTCAAAGAGTGTGCCTATGCGCCAATGCAGCAAATCTCTAGCCCGCTTTGACAATTGTGCTGGAGACTTAGCACCTAGATGCTGCCTGCGACCATCAACATGGCCGTTGCGAGTGATCAGTACAAAAATAGAAGCGCCGTTTGAACGCATCCTGTATGGGCAGTATGCATGTTGGCCGGAGCGAGTGAGGCGGCGGGTAAAAAATGAGCAATGCTCAGTTTGCAGCTTCGAAAAAGTCTCTTGCATCATCAGGTTGGTTATCTCATTGGAAAGGGCAGTGCTGCAACCGTGACTCTTGATTCCACTGTTCACAACTGCAATAGGCAATTCTTTCAGACGTCAGGGAGACTCTTGACACTACGGTTGGCCCTCTGTTGTAGGCCCTTCGCGCCATCCCTGGGATGGACAGCCTTAGAGCCTCAGTCTCGTTGATTGTGGGTTTGCATTCTGCTAGAGCGTAGAAAAGGTAGAGCTAAAGTGTGAATTGCCTGTGCAGCCTTTCCTAGACAGTTTTGTGTTGCCTTTGCACCTGTAGCCATGGCGGAGTGCTGGGATATTCAGAAGAGCCTCGGCTTCAGAATCGACTTGAGAAGGCTTCAACATGTCCGACTCTGACATCTCGGACTCAGGAAGGGCTTCTGCCCCAGGATGCAGAAGTTCGGGAACTGCAAGTACTGCGACGGCACCGGTGGTGGCAAGGGAGGCGGAAAGAACGGGGGTGGCTCAGCTGCATGCGAAGCAGCGCGCGAGTGCTGCATCCAACTGCTTCGCCAATGGAAGGCCATGGTGAAAGGGTGCACTCATCTCCAAGTTCCAAACAAGTTTAGGGTACCATGTTAAAGGGCAGCCTGTTTCGCGAGTTTTGCCTCAGGCGGAAAGGGCTGGGGCGGTGGAGGTGGAAAGGGCTGGGGCGGTGGTTCTAACTTTGGAAGCCCTGCCGGAGTTTGGCAGCAGCACCTCGGAACGCAGGATGGGGTGCAGTCAAAGCTCGAATCGCTTTTGCACTGTCATGAGGATTGCTGTGGGGTCTTTGGCGACCGGAGGAATTCTGATCAAACAGCTGCACGCTTGATTTGCTCGCTCAGGTTCCTGAAGTGGAACTCGGGCAAAGGCAGCTTGGTGATTGACTCCGCCCGACTTCTGACTTCGAACCCGACACCCGATATGTGTCTTACAGAAAGTCCTGAGGCAAGGGCAAGGACTCCAGGAAGAAGATCAATCCCACTCGCACCATTTGGGTGGGTAACATCCCCGACCAGACCACCTACCAGGCATCAGTTGACAAGCGTGAGTATGCCTGAGCTGCAGCTGCATGAAGCGAATGAGTTTGCAGCTTGAGCCAGGAGTTGAAGGCCCATGTGGAGCTCTCCGGCGTGCAGCCGGTTTGGGCAGAGTGCTACACGGGCAAGGGCGCAGGCACGGAGCGATGTTGCCACAGCTCGCATTCGCTTTGGTCGAGCCAATGAGCGTCGGAGACAGGGCTTCGAAAGACTCCAGGGCGAAGGACTCCAACAAAATTGTTGACCTGCCATTGGAGCACATGGAACACTGTTCCGCGCATGTTCTTGTGTGCAGCTACCAGAAGGATGCGCAGAGTGTAATTAGGCTGTCTTGCCTGACGAAGTGAGAAGTGCTCAAAAGCCAGACTCAGTTGATGCAAAGGCAAGCGAATCGGACTCGCAGGGCAAGCGCACTCCCAAGCTTCTTACTACAGATGCTGCGCATGTGTTGGGGCGCCACCCGCAGCAGTAGTTTCATTTCTTCGTGCATTCCAGTGTGCTGGCAGAGCAGCGCTTCTCCAAACCTTGCATTGCTGGTGATTCGAGCAAAGGTGAGCAACACCTGACGTGATGGACATAATGCCCTTCCATCGACATGACATCCGGTGTCATTGTAGATAGCCCTTGATCTCCCTGACCTCAGCACTTTGTGTGAGCAAAACCTGTCAATCGATTCTTCCAGGAACCCAAAGACATCTAGCCCACCAACAACTCGAGCGAAAGCAGCCCTCCGATGCCTCGAATTCGAGGCACCGGCGCCATCGGCTTCAAGACCGATGCGGAGGCGCAGGAGGCCATCATGGCGCGGCACCCAATTCGAGAGGTGCGGCCGAGGCCGAGAGGTGGAGACAAAAGGCTCGGTATAGAACAGGACAGTATCCAAAGAACAGGACAGTATAGACGGTATAGACGGTATAGACGGTATGAGACGGTATGAGACGACAAGCGGCATGCTAATAGAGCAGTGCGATAAGCCTCAGCCCCGCTTTCAGGTTTCAAGGCATGATCGCTATGCCAGACTGTCGAAAGCCACCCGAGGTTTTGAACGGTACCATCTTCAAGAATGTGTCTCTGGCTTTCGATAGCTGGGAGAGGCAGAAGAAGTAAGTCTCAAGAGACACTCCAGAGTGCTTTGCATGACACATCTCTAAACCACTAGCAAGCGCGCCGTTGATGCTACTTTGGCGTGACTCGATTCCAAATAAAAGATGGCCAAAGTGCATGATGGATACTTTGAGATGAGAATCTCAGAATGCACCGATAGCATATCTCCATCCAGGTCCAGCTTTTATGGAATGCACAGGCCGATTAATTGAAGAGGATTGGCAAGAAAAGCCGCGCGGCCTGGATGGAGACGAGAGCATCTCCGCCAAGCTTTGACGCATCGTCACTTGGTACCGTATGAACCGATGCTTCCCACAGATGGAGGAAAGCAGGAAAGCAGCCATGGCGGCCAAAGTTGATGACTGCCAGCCTGTCACACCCGCGGCTTCCACGGGTCTTGAAAAAACGCGAGCTGGGGACGGGGTCGGATGTCGACTTCAGCAACGTTCTTTGATGCCTGGGTCCCTGGGTTTGCCACGAGGTCTCTGTGTTTGTCACGAGGTACTTGGCAGTTTGTCGAGTGGACGGCTTTCAACTGCACGCACCGGGCGGAAGCCTGCATTGCCTGGCCAGGCGTGAGCTGCCAGTGGCGCCTTTGAGCAAGGGACCTAGTCGCGCATTCAACCTGTGCAGAGACGCGCCAAAAAGGGCCCGGTATGTCCCACTTGACTCGAAAGGAATGGGAGAGGAGACGCAACCAATTTGAGAGGTGGCCCAATGTGCAGCGGTGCAGCACGCGCCCACCAAAAGAAACAAATAACATGGCAGCGCTTTGAATCTGCTGCCAGCGTTAAGGTGGCTCTTCATGGCCCAGCTACATCAACAGCGGCGCGACAGGGTTGTGCTTTTTGATGAGTGCATGTGAGCTATCGTAATATACAATTGCCATGTGATGCGAGAAGGGGCTGGCGGGTTGTGAGGGGTGTGCCTTCACTTTCGCAGCTTGCCTTGCCCAAGGTCTGACCCGCTGACAAATGCTAAGCCGCTTTTAAGCCTAGCCAGACTTAGCCCTACCCCAAACAAGCCCGAGCCCCCGACCAGCCTGACGGAAGCCATAAGCCCATCCCAAGCCTCACTCCCCAAGCTATGGAGCACTCACCCCACCGAATTGACCACCCTACTGCCCTACTCCGCAAGCCAATCTGAATTCAATAAATCCCAACACAATTCCAACCTTAAACCATCAGAATTCGCACGCTGCAGCGCCCCTCCATACTTAACCCAGCCTAAATCAACGTCACTGCTCCCCCCCGAACGAATCGAAACCAACCACAAACCCTTAGAGGCAGGAGTATCGAACCTGATCCCGCTGAATTTACAGCAGTCAACGCCACGGCTGCAACTCGCAACCAGCCCTCAACCCAGGCGACTGAAGCCAAACTCGCGCACGGCTGAACCGAAGAGAATCAAACCCTACCTGAGAACCTGAACCTCAAGCCTTCCTCAAGGCGCCTTTGGACCTTCCCGAACCGTACGTCGCGTGATGTCATGGATGTTGGAAATATGTTTTTGTGCAGAGGGATGTCGGCTAGTTGGGATGCCACTGGATGCTCGGCTGTTTCCGAGTTAGAGAGTTGCATCCTTCGAATGCCTTTCGTGTCAGCGTTTCAGCATTTCAGCGAGGCACCTACAACGTCTCGGTGCACATGTACGGCCGCAGCGCCATTGCCTCAAAGTCACAGTCGAGCAGTCTGCAGCGTGGAAGCCCGAGGCGCCTGGCGCCGACAGTCCTGGCCCCGTGCAGGTGTCCATCTGCGAAATGCCGAGCAGGCGAAAGCATGATGGCGCTTTTTGTTTTGGGATAGGCTCGACTTTCAGGACGAAATTGGTTTGGCTTCTGATTTCTGATTCGGCTGAAGATGCAGGGTTTGCATGGTCATGTTCTTCAGGGCAAGATGGAACCAAACTGGAGGGTGGGAGCCAGCCCGGCCAGAATATAGCGTTTCCACTACTCGCAAAGAACCAGGTTGAGCATTGATAAAAAGGATCTCGGAGCTGTCTGACGTGTTCAGGCATCGCAAGCGATTGGACTTTCCAATCGAACTGGGATTCGGTGTGTGCGTGTGTGTGCGTGCGTGCGTGCGTGCGTGCGTGCGTGCGTGCGTGCGTGCGTGCGTGCGTGCGTGCGTGCGTGCGTGCGTGCGTGGGTGGGTGGGTGGGTGGGTGGGTGGGTGGGTGGGTGTGGGTGGGTGGGTGGGTGGGTGGGTGGGTGGGTGGGTGGGTGTGTGTGGCATTGAATGCATCCTTCCAGATCAACACTTTCGGAGATTCGTCAAAGCGCTCTTTGCAAGACACCAATGTCCTTTGATATCTAAAATATTGGCCAGTGATAGCTCAACAGCCAAGCACACCACGTTTGTCCACTTTGTTTCAGAGCGTCACCTGAACGAATGTCATTTTTGCCGGATTCAGTTCCATGGCACAGGCAAGGACCGCAAAGCGACGAGAAGCGTGAGCGCAACAAACACATGTTGTAAGGGGTCATTTTGCGAGCCAAGCGCGCCATGCGGGGTAGCTCTTGCTGCTGGTAGCCCGCGAATCTAAGCGCAGGTGCCTGGCGCCTTTGGATCTGCGGGAGTTGCCGGAGGGCGAGGTCTCGGTGGACACCACCCGGACCTGGAGCAGGGCCCCCCGGAGCGTGCAACCAGATGGACTCCTTTACACCCAAAGGATGTTTGAAGGCGGTTGGTGCAAACATGAGATTGGATATCCATCGCGCAAGATGGGAGGCGAAGTCTGAGAAATCAACTTGGCCCGCTTTTCCTTTCTTTTCTTGTGAGCTTGCCAGGTGGTACGACCCTCTTCCCGCGAGGAGTGTAAGAGCCTCAGACAATGCAGCCCAGCTCAGTGTAAAGGCCAGCCCTTTTTGTCAGTCGTTATTGCCGTGCGGGTGCAGACTCATAGCCTCATGAGGCTTGTCACCTCGCTGTCTACAGATCCCTACCTCGCGGAATACGTCGATGTGGCGCTTCATGGGCAGTGGTGCTCTGCTCAATCGCAAGGTACCGCAAGGCTTTGAGATCAGAGGCTCAATGCTCGATGGCTGAGGCGGCGCTTCCCATTGAACCGTTGGCTCTTAATGCAAGCGCTGGCCTCAGGCCACTCATGCCACTCATGCCATGCCATTCAAGCGTCCACGCTCCTTTAGCTGCCAGATCTCGTTTCGAAGGACGGTCATGCGGAGAACCTGTGGGAAAGCTACACTCCACCGCTTCGCGCCCAGGAATGGGAAGGCATGAGCCGATACCAGCACTGTGTTGCGGGCCTTTCATGGCCCATTGTATTGAGACATGTTGAAAGGGGCTTCCATGTGATCCAGGCCCCTCCCCAGCGCAGCACCAACGGATTCCCTCTACACCGAGGCCCTGCACTTTGGTTTGCCGCGTTTGCAGCTCCTTGCTCGCCAGGGCGACCGTTGTGGTGGCTGCGGCTTGGGCACCATCTGTGGCAGCCCCAGCATGCGCACGCGTCGAGCACATGCCCGATGTGAGAACGGCCCCAGCATGCCCATGCCCCGTGCCAAGGCCGAGAGCGGCCACAGACGGCCCTGGAGCTGGCGAAGCAGGTACGAGCTTCCGAGCTTACGAGCTCTCGATCTGTTGGATCTGTTTGGTTTTCTGTTGGTTTTCGGTTTTCGGGTTTGCTTTCAGAGATCTCTATCTGGAGATCTCCAGGGCATCTCCCTGGCGTTGGCCACCACCGCCGAGCGCCCAGTTGCCAGGACCAACCAACGATTGACTGCCGGTTTGGGAAGGACATGGCCCAAATTTCCGGCCAAGGGGTTCAGGCGAATTGTCCGGTGTCCTCTTGGGGAACAAAGACAATTGTCTCTGGCTCAAATTGTGGCAGCCGCGGCAAGTCCGGAGGACGTTTGCTTGCCTTCTTAAGCCACCCCTGCCTGAGCTTCCCTTTGGCTCAAGCGCACAGAGCCATGGCGATGCTGGGCGAAGCTGGCTATGGCAGGCGCCTTCAAACACCAAAACCATCCCCGTGTCGCAACGTGTTGCAACACACGGTGTGCAATTTTTGTGGGTTGCAGCTGGGGTGGAGGCGCGGCTTCGATGGATTCGATGCGTACGAGGACTGAATGCTGCGAAGACGTGCTCGGAAGCCACCCATTTCTTAGGCGAGCACAAGCCAAAAGAGTCAGTTGTTAAAGTTGTCCATATCAGATTTCATCTTTATTGGGGAGTCGATGTTCAGGTTCAAGCTGGTCAGGGCTGGTCACGCTCCAAGTACCAGCTGAGTACAGGACATCGCCGACCGGGCTGGGCCTGTCTCCGCAGGGTTGGGAGCTCAGACATCCAACATTTGCCATTCGGTATGTCATATGATCCTGTTTGAATAGTGCAATGTCATACTGCCTAGGCCTTGGGCACCTTTTTGGTATCAAGCGTAGGCACGTATGTCAGGGTGCCCCTGCAGCACTTCGAGGAGCTCTTCAGCACTGGCTCGCCCGAGGACGCAGCGCACTTTTTTAGAGAAAGCGGAAGACTTGAGAAAAGGAAAAGAGGAAAACGAGGAAAAATAAAAAACAAAAAAAACAAAAAAACAGAAGCGAGGAAAACAAAAAGCGTCTTTAGAACGAGCGCGGATTTGGTCGGTTCCGTGTGTCGAGGAGGCGCAGCAGAGCGCGGAGGCGCTGCTGGAGGCTGCGGCGCGGGGCCAGGACGAGCGGCTCAAGGTGCTGGGGCCGGGTTCTCAGCACGGGTCCTTTCGACTCGACGGGTCGACAGGTGCTGAAATCTGGATAGTGCGGAAGTGGGGTTTGGGGGTGGGAGATGGTGGGGTTGGGCAGATGTCAGCATGTGTCTCAGGGTGTGACCAACTTCCAAAGAGAAGATGCTGGTGCTGAAGTGCTGAGGTTGTGCAAGGCTGCAGATGCCATTGCGCTGCGGCATGAGATTTCGCAACAGCTGGCGAACGAGGCCGGCGCAGTCTTTGCCATGTTCCAATCTTCCTGAATGAAATTCACACGACTAGTTCAAACCTTGAGGCCATGGCCAAGGTCCGAGAGGCGCAGCAGCTGTGCGATGACCTGGATGACTTTGAGGCGAGCTATGGTCTCGTCTTCCAGAAATTCCTCGTCGTCTTTTTCGTTGACAACTCGTTCAGGGATCCTTTCCAGAACTGTTTCACATGGAACGGTTGGTCTTCGGAAAGGAATGGTTGAAAAAGCATGTTCCTTCAAAGCTTTATGGGCAGTGGCTTCCTTTGGTATGGGGAAGCAAGACATCGCCTTGCAGGAAGGCGAGGCTGCGGCAACCTGGCCGCAGGAGGCTTTCAACTTAAGGATGTAAAGTGACAGCTCGGAGATGCTGAGATGCGGAGATGCTGAGATGCGGAGATGCACGACATGTAGTTGTATTTTCTTTTTACTGAAACACTTCTGAGAGAGTGCTAGTGAAGTGTGAGGTGAACTACGCGAGTGCTCGCTGCCACCTTCGCTACAGTGGCGGGGACGAGGAGATGCAGGACTTTCCCTTGAGAGCAACCTTAAAGCATCAGATGGCATCGCTCCAAGTCTCGACGGGATTGAAAAGAGTTCAAGTGGCAAGGCAAAAGGCACCGAGCACACCCCACGGAAGGACAAGGCTCTGGAAGACGGCGCAGAGGCGGTGGCCCTTTGCCGCCCGGGGCCCAGAACTGAGCCCGGCCAGGGCTTGACATCTTGTTTGACTCGCATTTTTTGACAATTCCATTGGCTCAGACGGTGGCTGATGGTCACGCTGCGTTTCAAAATTTCAGGACTTCTGAAGAGCAGAAAGGGCGAGGCCGCCTCGCTGCTGACGGTGGGCGATGCTTACCACGTCGGCAAGGCCCTTGCGATGCCTGAATCCTCACACAGATTCCAGGTGAATTCGCGCCCACTCTATGCGCGAAATCCCCAATCCTCCCTGATCACCCGCACTATCACAGACACTGGAGGCGGTCTTTCAAGAAAACCTGAAATCATTTATGGGGCCGATTCTTCATTTTACGTTTTCGTATTTGCTGTGGCCAAATCTTGTGGGCCATGTCAAACTCACGGCGTGAACTGGAGGCAAAGGAAAATCCAGCAGGGTTCCCCTTGTAAAGCACCAAGAACAATCCAGTTTTAGTTGGTATGGACGTTTCGCCTCAGGACTTAGACAAAGCGGTGGACTATCATCGGCAGGCGCTGGCAGTCTTCAAGGACCCGGGGACGTGGCAAAGTCGGAGCCGACCTAACAACTTTGCGCTTGCGGATTTGGGGGAGTCCCAATGGTTTTCAGGAAGTTTATCAGGGGCAAACACTTTGCCAGTGTTAGCCCGAATAGGCATGGGCAGGCATCTCAGTGATGGACCTGGCCACACATCTTGCTTGGCGAAGTGTTTGGCACAGATCAGCACCTAAACACACACACACACACAACCCTTGCAGCCATTTTGGTGGAACCGATCTGGGTTTTGGTCGATACTGTCTCGCCATGTCAGCCAGCAGGCCCTGCGAGACCAGGCGTGAAGCAATTCGCTCCCTCCGCTCGTTGCCACACTTGACGCTTGCTGCGGCCTGCACCGCAGGACATGAACAGCCAGCTGCTTGGCTGGAATTGGTTGTCCGCATGCTCTGCCCCAAATTCTTTGCATCGTGGCAAATGGCTTCGTTCATGGAGACCATCTCTACTGCTTTACATCAAGACTGGGCCAGTCTCTGACTCGCTGCAACAAGTTGAGCGTTTGCCTTTGTGGTTAGAAGTTAAGAGGCTGTTTCGTTAAAGAACGGCCAAGGAAATCATGGTGCAACATCACCTCACCGAGAGGAAACTCCATTTAAACTGGCCCCTCCCAAACCTGCCTATCTCTCTCATCTATCCAACAGCTGATTTTGCACTGGCGAATTGCTCAACTTCTGAGCTTGCCACTTGGGCCAACAGAAGCTTGGCAGCTAGACAACTTGAAGGCAAACCTGGGGCATTGATCAAGCAAATTGGCACACTTTTACGCGTATAGATCATGTGTCACGAAGGCAGTTTCTCCTAGCGCGGAGCGCGCCCAAGCCGGGCGTTGTGCTCTCATGTATACTTGCTAGACGGTCGAGGGAACAGTAAGTGCGTCCTGGCTTCTCAAAAGACTGAGGAGCGGTGTGGGTCTGGCCTACATGAAGATTGCGGAGGACTTCTTGAAGGCTTGGGATCCCTGGTTTGTCTTTCCTAGCGTTTGAACAGAAATTTAAGATGGTTTGGCAATGCTCTTCCAATGCAGCAAAGTCATGAGCATGGCCAGTGTAATCCGAATTCCAGTCCGTTAGCTTCCCTGGGCTCCACGCCAGCTCAAGAGCGATGTCAAGAAGGCTGCGACCAATGCCAAGCGAGCCGCGTGGTCGGAGAGATCGGTTGGATAGAGGGATAGGCATCAAAAAAACTTATTAGGGATCAAAAACAAACATATTAGGGATCAAACAACTTCTTTTCATTCCTATGGGAACAAGGAAGGAAGGAAGGAAGGAAGGAAGGAAGGAAGGAAGGAAGGAAGGAAGGAAGGAAGAAAGGAAGGAAGGAAGGAAGGAAGGAAGGAAGGAAGGAAGGCAGGAAGGAAGGAAGGAAGGAAGGAAGCAAGCAAGCAAGCAAGCAAGCAAGGAAGCAAGGAAGCAAAGCAAGGAAGCGAGGAAGCAAGGAAGCAAGGAAGCAAGGAGGCAGGCAGGCAGGCAGGCAGGGAGGGAGGGAGGGAGGGAGGGAGGGAGGGAGGGAGGGAGGGAGGACGGAAGGAAGGAAGGAAGGAAGGAAGGAAGGAAGGAAGGAGGAAGGAAGGAAGGAAGGAAGGACGGAGGGAGGGAGGGAGGGAGGGAGGGAAGGAAGGAAGGAAGGAACCCCCAACCCCCCCGCTGATTTTCAGAATGTTTACAGAGATTACCGCACCCTTTGCTGAATCATCACTTCTTCGATCATCATCACCCTTTGTTGAATCATCACTTCTTCGAACATCATGGGGGGGCGGCAGCCCCCCCCGACCCCCCTGCTGACTTGTAGAATGCTTACAGAGCTTAACGCGCCCCTTGTTGAATTCACTTCCTCGAACATCATGGGGGGGGCTGCCGCCCCCCCCCAACCTCCCCGCTGATTTTCGGGATGTTTACAGAGCCTAACGCACCCTTTGCTGAATCATCACTTCCTCGATTAATGTGGACCTGCTTTAATATGATCCCCCCCCTGAACAATGGAAGCCGTCAGCGGGACCCTGTTTAGGCAAACCCTGTGGAGGTCTAGGTGGGACTTTCAAATTGATTTAGTATTGGTAGACTCGAGTTTCCATTTGATTTGGTATTGCTGGAGCTTCCTTTTGAGATCTGGAACTGAGTTTCCATTTGATTTAGTATTGCTTGGAGCTTCCTTTTTGAGATCTGGAATTGAGTTTCCATTTGACTTAGTATTGCCGGAGCTTCCATTTGAGATTTTGGAATTGAGTTTCCATTTGATTTAGTATTGCTGGAGCTTCCTTTTGAGATTTTGGAACTGAGTTTCAAGTTGATTTAGTATTGGTAGAGCTTCCTTTTGAGATTTGCTCCCAAAACCAGTTGAACACTGAAGAGGACCCCAAAACAATCACACTAAAGAGGATCAGGGTTGGTTGTGGGCAACCCCTTTTGTGTGATGGATTCACCTTGCTTTTTTGTAAAGAAGTTATCATAAATTTGATGGTTTGGGCACAACTTGCAAAATGAACTTCCTAGACCTCAGGCCTT